TTTCTAACTTGCATGTTTTCTCCAATCTTGGCATAGCTTAGCTGTTGTATTTTTTGTTGGTGTCTAACATTGTGATGTTTATATGTGTGTTACTCATTATATTCCAAGTATGCCTCATAATTTTCCTGTTTTAATTGATCAACTTTTAATGTGAACATCCATGATTGGCCTGCTGTTTCAAATCATACAAAATGATGTCATGATGAATTCCTACTTCTCTTCTTGGCCTGAACTTTGTTGTTTGATCTGTTGTCTTGAAAGCATCAATATTAACATGATTAAGATCCATAGGCCATGTGCAAAAATGAATTTTCTTCATCTGCCAATATGTTGCTAGGGCAGTTGCTGCATTTTTATGTTTCACTTGCAATTCATATGCCAAATCCATGATTGATGATTTTTGCTTGAGCTTTAAATATGCTACACTTCTGTTATGACATATGTGTTGTGTGTGCAGTACCATTTGCTTGAATTTGATCTCACAGTTGTGTGTGGTTTTCAAAATGCATCTCAATTGCCAAATTTGCAAGTTCTATCGTGTTTCCTTTTCAAAGCCTCATTTCAAAATTCCAACTGCACCATCTTGTTCCTTGTTTAAAAACACTCAAATTTGACTAAAATTTCATTTGATTCCATTAAGAATTGATATAGTTGTGAATCAAAACGCCTTTTGTAAAATGCCCTGTTCTTGCTCCCAACTTGCCCAGGAAATTCAGGAAAACACGCCTTATATATTTATGGGGGTGGCTATATCAACAGATGTATAGCCACCCCAGTGGTAGAAGCATGCGCGCATATCATACCTTTCACTGCCTAGACCTGGGTTCGATCCCTGAAGAGGATCAACCCTTTTGCATTTTTTTTCCTTTTTCATTATTTTCCATCCTACCTGCGCGCGTGTGAGTTCCCTAGTGGTCAGGTGTGTGGCCTGCAGGCTTGAGGGCGTGGGTTCAACTCCCACCCCTTGCACTTTTATTTTATTTTTTGCTTGTTAAATATGATTTGTACATGAAACTTCCAAAATTCATATCTTTCTCATTTTTCATCCTTTTGAACTCATTATTTTTGCAACATGCTTGTTTTAATGTCTATTTTCATATGATGTAAAAATATTGCAAGTTATTCTCAATTATGATGTATTTTGCCCATATAAACTTTAGTGCATTGTTAAGATCGCTATCCTTATATACTGTTGAATTCCCTTTAAACATGCCTGAATCTTCTTGTGAGATTTATTGACATGTGTTTCCTTTGTGTTTGTTAACATATCAAAGCTCTGTTTTCTTTTGGTTACCACCATGAACTTACATATCTTCCTCATAAGAAACCTCGGTCCCGTACCGAATTCATTTTCATAAATATCTTCAGTCATAAGAATCGTTTTCTCTTTGCATTGAATTATATTAAGAGAGGATTAAGTGTAGACTTTTTCCCCTCCAAATATTAAGACGCTTATTGTAGTGTGAGTGGTCTTAATACTAATCTTTCAATACAAAGACACAACTTTATCCATCACCTATCTTTATCTACCGTCTCTCTCCTTTCATAACTTCCTTTCAAGACCTTTATGACCTAAAACCTCGGTCCCGCACCGAGTGCATTTTTAAACTCATTTTCTTAACAAATCTTGATTGGTCGTGGAGTGGTTAGGCGTAGGCCTTCTCCTATCCCGAGTGCTGACATTTACCGTAGGGTTTACAGTCGCAAAGCACTCACCATTCAAAATCAAAACACTTTAATAACATAATGAAGTTCTTTTTGTATTTGAATTAAAGAGAGAGGATTGAGTGTAGTCTCCTTCCTCTCCGAGTGTTAGGATATTCACTTTAGTGTGGGTGGTCTTGATACTTGTCTTTCAATACGAAGATGCTACATTCGTCACACCTTTCATAACAAAAACTTTGAGATAAAGAATTGGATACTACCTGTAGGGGTTACTATCTAAGGACTGATCTCACCCCTAAAAACAATTCAACCAATCAAACGTGACATCTTGCCTCGCATGGCGAAAACTAATCAATCTTTCAAAAAGGATATGTTACGTCCGTTCTACTGCAAACAGGTAGCGCATAAGTCTCCTCACATGCGAGCAGCAAAACACCTAAACTGCTAGAATGTGCACGATAGCATCATCCATAAACATATCAATAAACCGTAGGCTGAACTACGGCTGCTCTGATTCTTTACTTCTTTCAAGTAAAGATACGTAGGCACAAGGGCCACAATCCTTGCTGAGCATATTCCCCTATATCCGTAGCCCCGAACTACATCGACTCTGACTTTCTCACATCCATTGAGAATACGTAGGCCTAGGACCGCGAAGTCCTACCGAGTCTGTTCCTTCTCTTTTCTTCCCCGTTCTCTTTTTCCTCCTAACTTCTCATTTTTCTGTTTCAATCCCTTTTCTCTCCCCTTTTGGAACACTCTTTTATAGCATAATTTTTTAGCAAATATAATCACACATTGATAAGCAAATGGTTCCCATCGAGTACGATGGATGCGAGGGGTGCTAATACCTTCCCCTTGCATAACCGGCTTCCGAACCCATTCTTGGTTGCGAGACTATCTTGTCCTTTTCTTTCTTAAGGTTTTCTCGATATTTTTCTTTCCCCTCATGGGATAAATAAAGTTCGGTGGCGACTCTTCTGTCCTTTCTTCTTCGCCTCCCCGTTGTTGCGTGATGCATTTTTCGAGTAGCGACACACGAAAGCCACCAGCTTAGCATAGCTGGTTCGGTTGTCGTCCCCCAGCATGTGAGGAATGGAGATATAATCTTCAGTCGACCGGGTAAAATGAGCCCTGCTTCAGCAAAAGGAAAACTTGAACAGCCTCCGCGTAAGCACTTTTCCATGCTCATCAACTAAGGTTTCCCCGCCCCGTCCGCCGAGACCTCCCAGACAATTTTTGAGTCGATGTCCCTCTCTGACACGGGCTCAATGATATAAAACCTTTCCTTGAAAGTCCTAATGGACTCACAGAAGGGTTTGAATAACTTCCTCCCCTACTTCAGGGAGACCCAACCGAACTTCCTCCCTAAGACTTATCGCTGAAGATGAAAGACAGTAAAAAAGATGGGAAGGGCAGCTCCAATCTTCAAGTACTCGCACACCAGCTCAAATGCCCGTATGAAGGCGATCGAGTTCGGATGCAGTTGCGAAGGCGCCAGGCTCAGGTGCACAAAGACGGTCCTCTGAAAATCCGAAAAGGGCATCCTTAGTTCTATCTCCTTGAAGACATATTCCTAGGGAACTTCTCCCTATGACGAGCAAATACAGTCGTCCTATATAAGGAAATGGACCTTCCAATTTCTCTCAGCCCCCACCGACGTGAAGGCATCCCCGGTGTAAGAGGCAAAGAGAGAGGCATGCTCCCCAGGCTCTGCTACGGCCCACTCCTCCGCGGTTGTCCTCGAAATAGGCGTTTCGCCAGCGTCCCGGGGCGTGGAAGTATCATTAGTCTCAACATCCTCCGAGGAGCTCTCCTCGGACAGATCTCTCAGGATTTCTTCTTCAGTTTTGCGCGACATCTCCTTTACCTGAAAAGTAGAGGATAAAAGTGAATTCGATGACAAAGTCAAATCCACCCTTCCACCGCTAGTTAAGTGAAAGGGCGCGCGAAGGCCCGAGGACAACGTCCTCAACCTAAACCCTACTCAAATGGCACAGTTACGGTACAAGGAGGCGCCCAGGACAAACCCTCTGACGCGCGCGGGGAAAAACTTCCCTGGTACAAAACCCAGAATTTTCGTTGGGAAACCACCGGAAAGCTCATAAGCATACCAGACATTCACGATTCCCACCGCCAAGGAACGCTTTCATGTTGAAAATGCATCAGAATCAACTAAACATTCTAAGTTTCTAAAAGCTCTAGCGTTGGACACCTCTGCCCGTCCCAACGGCTAGTTTCTGTCAGTTACCTATTCTTCAGGGAACGGTTATCTCGCCCCAAAAATAGGGACCAATGGTCAAGCGATGGGGGCACTATAAAAATCCTCTTATTTGAGAGGGTCAGATATTCAATATTCATCCTAACACACGCATACTTTGTACTTGCCCTCTTTTCTCCCGATTCTTACTTTAGCATCGGAGTGCCTTGTAGGTACACCCCATCCTCATCTCTCACATCCAGCATCAAAGATGTTGTCTCTGGCCCACTTTAGGTTCTGTTCAGCCGGTAAGATCAGCTGTATTTTGTCAAAGAGATAATCGAGCGTGGAGAAGTCTAAGTGCTGAAGTTTTCGATTGATGACAATATTACTGATATGATCACCAAGACATTGGCAAGTTGCAAGTTTTTCCATTGTATGTAGCTGATAGGACTGCATGATGACAGCTAGATGGTTTTTTGGTTCAGAGTTTGTTTCAAGGTGAAGATTTGTAGTTTATGGGTGATAAGCTAGTGGTGTAGGAAACTATGTCAAAGTCAAAGAGTTTGTATAACTGTCAAAATATACTAGATTGTTAGCACGTTGAATTGGATTAGTCTGTCAGACCAATTGTTTAGTATGTTAGTTGAATGTTATGGTTTAGTTTATTTATAAATAGCATACTAGTGATCATTTCTCCATCAATTCCTGATAATCCTAATCAAAGGGAGAAAGTGGTGTGGTTGAGATTCAATTGTAAACATTGTTTCCTAATATATAATTGAATCAAGAATTCAATTTTATACCACTTTGAATTGTCTTTCTCTTTCTTCTCTTGTCTTTTACTTTTTGGTTTCTTGTTAATCAAAAAACCGATCATACTTTATTTTCTGGACATCCTTTTCACAACAATATGTCTATGATTCAAAAAATAATTATGGATTCAAACCTGGACAAATGAGATTTTAGCACTTTTTGAGATTGCAACTCTATACATTTCTAATCCCTAAAACTTTTTAACAAATTTTTTGAACCAAAGTAGAATTGGCAGGTCATTGACACTGAACTATAATTACTCAATAGCACCTTCATGGTGAAAATTTTTAAATTAAAGAATACTTCAAACTATTTTCTATTATGTACTTACCCTGTCTGTCACAGAGCAAAATGTAGTGGAATTCAAACTACCTCTAATTCTGAAATGCCATAACTTCCCTTTAGAATACAACAAATTCTCATCACAAAGAAACTCCCAAGAAAACCATTTCTCTACCATTCTATTTACATCATGTACTATTACATCTGAAACATTCCCACCTCTAGCAAGTACACCAGCAGTGTAAATGGATGCCATTCTGCCCGGTGACTCGGTCGAATCGCCGCTCGGTCCATCCACAAGTATGACATCCCAATTCTTCTCATACACTATTGCAGGCAAATTTTTCAATGCAAGATTGCATTTTGATGTTTGTAGGTATCTTGGGTCTGGTGCACATACTGGATTGTTTCTTGCATGTTTGAGTAGTTTATAAGCTTCTTTTGTTGGCACATTGTAGCTGAAACTGTGTATTTGAGTGTTGTTGTTGTAGTTTGTTGTTGCTCTGTCGTGGTTATTGTCGAGAAAGACGGTGCTACCGGCTTCGTTCATTGATGAAAGAATAAGGAACTGAGGTTGAAATCCAAATATGAGAAGGTTGCATGGTGATTTAAGAGAGATTATATTTATTAAAACTTTAAATTCTTTCTCTTGGAATGTAGCAGAGATGTTGTGAGATACTCTTGGATGCAATGATGATTCATTTGTATAGGCAAAAGGTGGAGAAGCAGAAGATGAATGAGTTTTGAGAGTGAGGCTAAGAATTCTGAGGACTGATATGATTGAGAGGAACAAAACAAGAATAGGGATGAGTTTCTTTTTTGTGAGGTTCATCTCTTTTGTTACTTTTTGGTATTTGTGAAATATAGAAGGTGGATTTGGTTGTGCTTGAGTTATGAGAGGGCGTGAAAATTGAACAAGAGGACGAAAATAAAGAATATCAGGGGGCATGTTGGCTTCTTTTTTTTCTTTGGTTCACTTCACCAATGGTGTTACTTTCCACCCTTCTTATGGTGTTGTGTGCAATTGATGATTATAACTACTTTTATGTGCACTTTGTTGAGTAGAGAGGAAGGGATGGTTTTGCTTGTGATACAAGTTTCACTTTTTTGTTACCTAATTTTTGTGGTTTGTTAGTTGAGTTACGGAAACTAATCTATTGATAAATATTTGTCTTGTATAGAAAGTTATGTTGATATGAATCTTTTCTGTTGGTGATGACATGCGTCCTTGAGTTTGGTTTGTTGTCAAAATATATCTTTTGGTGATGATGAGTGAGTTTGAAGATGTTAAGGTGGTGGTTGTTGAGTCTTTTTCAAATGTAAGTACATAATACACGATGATTATATGATTTTTTTGGAAGTTCGGAATTATTTTAGAAAGATTGTTATTATTGGTCTATCATGCTATGAGAAATACACAACTAAGGAAGGGTGTATCTTATTCAATAATGCACTGTACTTCATTGGGAATAAAATAGAGTTGTTTGTGGACTATGCTCCCAACATGTAGCGCGTGAGAGACGGGGAATATTCTCAGAAATTTTCAATTTTTTTACTAAATACTATGCCCCTCTTTTATAGTAGTTCTGGTTTTTCCTAAAACAGAATTTATCTTCCTTTCCTTTGCTATCAGATTATAACTTTGTTAGATTCCGGTCTGATCGGTTAAATCTCTCGTCGTCAATTAGAAATGGAGAAAATGTTGGATACATAAGAGAAAGAACGCATGCACACATCTCAGTTAATCCTTAGCAAAAAGATTGAGTCCCACCGTTACCTTGAAACCATACATGATGCCATGTCTGTGTTGACTTTCCACCAATACTATACTAAACTATGAAATGGTCATTCTCCATCCAAAATATATATAAAAAACTCAATAGGGACGTTACGTTATTCAATTAACAAATATTGTCACGTCGTTGCCAATGGAAAGTTTCACCTCAAAACTCCTATGCTAACGTGTTCTTTAATCTTATTATCTACACATAAATTAATTCATAGAGCATAGAAATGAAAACCAGTTTAATCATATTTTAACTTTTAGTCTGAAAACCAATAATACTTACAAAGCTATAACTCTATGCAAACCATGGTTAAGCTCATAGGAACTTTAACTATCACCTAATCTTTTCCATGGTTAAGGCATAAAAAGAGTTGAGATTTTCTTTGGCATCTTTCTGCTAGAGATTTTCTAAGGTGTTAAACACTAAAAAACCAATATCTTTTATATCTGCTAACTGGTGTAGATTGAAGAAGACAAATATTACCATGGGAACAAACAGAGAAGAATCGGGACGATTCGAGGTAAACAAATCAATATTCAAAGCAATATTATTCAGTTCATGTTTGTTTTTACTTGTTAGTTCTATTTCAATTTTCAACTGCAATAGCTTGAAGAATTATAAACTATGTTTTAGACAATATATCAGGAAATGGTAGAAGATGAAGTTAAGGCCACTCATAAACTTCCTGCTGGACCTATGCACAAATTGATAGCTGAGAATACCAAGTCAAACAGTTTGGTCATGAAGGTAATTTCTAAACTAAATTTCCCAGTACGCGACGGTGAGTTTGGCAAAATCACTAGCAGAGCGTACGGTGATTCTGTCAAACTCGTTGTTAATTCAAATATGCATGTCTCATTTTGAAACTAACAAAAGACTTATAATTGGTATTTGAGCAGAAACCAAATTTGGTGATTCCTGCTCATATCATAGCGGAAGCAATATCATCAATCCGCGACATCGACCTGAGATGGTCAGGTCCAATCACGCAGAAAGAAATGGAATATGTAGAACAATATGTCCTAGCGAAGTATCCAGAATATGCGAATCTCATTGAAGGAGATGGAAGTGGAATAGACATGTCAAGTTTCATCATCAATGAGGAGCCTTCGGAATTACCAATGTCAGATGCTCTAAGAAAATCACCAAGATCGCCTTCTTTTGGAAGCAACCTACCTGAAATGGATGGAACACAGCTGGAACCATCAAGGCTACTTGATGTTATCAATAAGAAATCATCCTTTCCCGGAAGTTTCATCTCGATCCCAGAAATTCAAGCTCAAAATAAGGTTTTGAAGCATTGCGGTTTACCAGATGACGAATACTTGGTTCTTTTTACTCCGAGTTACAAAGATGCTATGATGTTGGTCGGAGAAAGTTACCCTTTTGTTAAAGGAAACTACTACATGACTATTCTTGGTGAAGAACAAGAGGATTATATAAAAGAATTTGCTTCTTTTAAGGAGTCTAGGGTTCTGATAGCACCAAAGACATGGCTTGATTTGAGGATTAGAGGGTCTCAGTTAAGTCAAAATTTTAGGAGGAAATGTAAGATTAGTCCAAAAGGGCTATTTGCTTATGTAGCAGATGTGAATGGAACAATGCATTGGGTTTCTGAGGCTCATAGGAACTATTGGCATGTTTTGCTTGATGCATCTGAAATGGTTGTGGGAAAGGATAGGTTACATGTTGGACTTCATAGGCCTGATTTCTTAGTATGTTCTCTTGATAACACAAACTCCAATCCTTCAAAAATCACTTGTCTTTTGGTTAGAAAGAAAAGTTTTGACACATCCAATACTTCATCTTAGGCTCAATGTTGAATGAGGATAGTACTTGTTTCAGATTGTTGGACAATATTTGAACTACATAGTAATTGGTTATGTTTAATTGGTATCATGAACTCTACTAAGAAAAGAGAGAAACTGTTGATTTTCCTTGTGTAATTTGTTGTAGATTGAATAAAATGTTTTTGACATAAATACATATAGGAAAAACACTAATTATTGGCTTGCATGCATGTGTTGCTGATCATTTGGTTGGTTTTTTTATCTAGTAATTGATATTATGATTGATTTGCTTTTTTGTGGCCAAACCAATTCTCCATAACAATTCATCTATTTTAAGTTAGTGCTCATTGAATAGTAAATTGATTTTATTATCATTAAGAAAAATTATTATCTTCTGAAAATGTATATTGATAGTATAGATGTTCCGATAAGCATTGACAAATGTATATTAATAGTAATAGTATAGATGTTCCAAAACGCATTCAAACCTTCATCACCACCATTTTTTCCTAAAAAAATTACAAAACCCAAGTTAGGTTTTAAAATCTTGTTAGTGCCAATTGAGAGACCAACCAACACTTTTGACTTCAATTAATCTATTTTTTATGCTCTATTATGCTTAGCCATACTAAATCCTTAGATTCCAAGAACTTGAAGTTTGTCTTATATACTTATTTTGAGAATGCGCCTTTTATATTAACTACTAAAGTTACAAAATCCAAGTGGTCGAGTGTGCATCCAAATCTTTTGTTGGGTAGTGTTGTCACGTTCATCGATGGTGGCATACTGATTAAAATAGGGACGCATATTGAATAGCAACATCATAATCATATTATTTGTAAATTGAAAAGACAAACATCGAAATCATATTATTTTCAAAATCAATCAATATTTCTAGAATTTGAAAGCCTAAACCTTTGAATTTTGTCCAAAATCTACCTATTTAAGATATTGAAACCTTGATCGGATTACGGTTGGAACATACAGAACTTCAACCAGAACTTCAGATCTAATAAAATCATAATTTGGACTTCTGAACTGTCAAGTGATTAAACAAAAACTTAGTTGGTATTTTGTAAACTTTCACGCCCACAAACATCCAGTTCTTCCATGGATTCAGCTTGTAGGACTTAATATCTTGATCAGCAGCCTATCTAACTAGTTGCCAGTACAACCTTGATTTTAATACCAGATACAACAAGAGAAGGGAGAGGCAGGTTTGACTAACCAAGCTCGAGCTGAATACTGAGACAATACAGCCTTCTGGGGAGAAGAATAATGGTGAAGGCGATAAAAATATTAATTGCCTCAAGATAATTATTGCCTGATATACACAACCAGTTAAAAGCCACCATAACGAAGAATAATATAACTATCACTATGAGATAAACAAACACAAAGCTGCAGCAGTAACAACTAAGAGACCTGTACTGAAGTATATTAACACGCTGGGACTATTATACTGCCAACCAAGAGCATACAAATTCCCCAACAGGGCTCCTAGAAACTTTTCTAGGCGTTTCCTACACTTGCTCTTGACCATAGCTGCTACTTTTCAAAATGTCATACTTGCAGAGGGGGCAAGTCGCATTAATGTGCAGCCATTTGTCCACACAGCCACAGTGAAAATGGTGACCACAAGGAAGTTGTCTTAGTTCAACACCATCTTCATAGGTAGAAAGACAGATGCAACATTCCTACAGTTTACCACACACGAATAAATTAAAAAATAAAACCAGATTAGTTTTTTCAAAGCACTTCATCATACAACAACTCCTCTGGTGTGCTCGAACCATTATGTAAAATTCCTCCGAATGTAAAGTGTGGTAGATGTTGTAAAGAAAAGACACGGGAAGAAATACAAATAAAACCAAAATTTTAACATAATTCTTCAGCTGAATAATGTGCTCAAAACATGATTGTGTTATAGGTTAAAATGAAGCAATTGTAAGTGGAATTCCCTTAGTAGTATGTTGAATTAATATTCAGTGACAGATCAAAAGGACCACTGTCTAATGAGACGAGAGAATATTTTGAATGCACGCGACGAAAAATTTACAACATACCGCATCCTCATCAGCAAGCACGTGTTCAATTGGGGAATCAGCTCGACATTCAGTCATTATTCCTCCAACAGGTCCTTGTGTATTACCAGCAACCTTCTCATTACTTTTTCTTTGGAATTTGAATTTTGACAACTGCTCAATGTCTTCTTTTGTTGCCCCTTCCTGCTTTTCCCATAACACCATAATAAAAGGAGTGAGACATTATCGCAAGGAACAGTACAGATGATATACTTGTAAGTTATAAGGCATTGTGTTCATGTCCACTCATGATTAGAATTTAGATACACGTCCATCAACTACAAATTTGTAGGAAAACAAATCATATCAAGGTTCATTCTTTCTAGAACATCCTAGAAGATAACAATGTCGACCTGAATGAGGCATAAAAGTATCAGAATAATGAACCTTATTTCATAACAAAACAACTATCGGATAACTAATTCATAACCTTAGCCTTACCATCTACCCTGAAAAATCTAAGTATTCAAACTCATAATTAATCTTCGTCTCCAAGGTATTCCCAACAAATCAACCTTAAGAAGTTACTTTTAAACATTAATTCACACCCAAAAATCTATCATTCATGGTAGCAAAACATTGCATCTTAATAAATGTGTATTATCATGACTGCTGCTTTCCCTTTTTCCACACAAAAAAAAAAGAAGGCCAGAGGTTAAGTAAAAGGGACAGTTTTGACAGTGGTTCTGGCCTGCTTCAATTCAACAAATGAACAAATGTCACTGACACGTACGATGCAATAGTTTAATCTTTCACATGTTCAACTTTGCCGGGTCAAGGCAATTTTACCTTTGAATTACCAAAAATGATCTGAGAAATGAACATATAGATCTCTTTTTGTAACAAATAGAAATTTCAGTTTCGTCTTTCCATTTCATTTAGCTATAATAAATTCAAAAACAAAAATAATATTTAAAGCCAGAAGTTCTACCAAATTCATTCTAGACTGGAAAATGCTACTAAATAAAATCAAATTGGAGGAAATAAACACTTGAGGAACCAGATTCATCTACCATGGAAACTCAAACAAGAACAAGTAATGACTGTGACTTGCCTGGTCTGCAACAGCATACAGAAGCGCAATAATACACGGAAGGCAGCAGCAAACAGCAAGACCAATGATGCATGCCAGCGCAATACAGAAAACGACAAAAAAAACATCAAACCCCAAGAAGACAATACATAACCTGTAAAGCAAGTGTATTTTGTCAAAAGTAGTAAACTACTATAAAAAGCAGATTTCCCAAAGAGAAAGTAAATCATATATATATATATATATATATAGTGTACCAGATGAGAACTCTTATTGTGAGAACACCAACAATAAATACCACCAAATTAAATTTAATGATTCAGATTAATCCCTCAAAATTTACAGGCATGTGACCTTCTCCTCTTTTCCCCTACCGTCACATCACATTTCAGCCCCTTCTCCTTCCAACAGCAGCGTCAAAGCCTTCATTCAGTGAAAGTTAACAACGGAAAGTAAGAACATCAAAAATATTTTACATATATAACTACTGGTGTTTCGGAAAGAAGCCCCGTCAAGCCAAATTGATATATTACTGAGATCGGGTTTTAACCACATGAAAATTTATTTAGATCAAATAACACAAGCCAAGAAGAAACCGAAAATATCTGCAACTATTTTGTGGTTAAGAACATCCACATTGAAAATTCACGCCTCAATTTTAATTCTATACCACAGTGATTTCCAAAACCAGTATCTAAAATTCCCCAAAACCCTCTCTTTTCCACCACCAGCTTTCCCATCTTCAACACCGGCTATCTCAGCACAGTTTCATACGATGTCAAGAGGACTCAAAAACCCAACAAGATCGACGACATGACAAGGAGAAAGGGCTAGAGGTAAACAGTTGGCGGCAAACGAATAAGGAAAAGGAGTTGTGTGTCTTTTAACTCTGAAGGTTAATCTGAATCATTGAAATCAACCCCGCAATTATTATTGAAAGTTCTCAATTCCCACGATAAATAAGAGCAGAGAGAGGGAGCAAACCAATAAAGCATAGGAGATTCGTTGATCAAATCTTGACCATCTGCTGATACCCAATAGAATCCAATGACCCACCAAATAAAAGAAAACATTGTGTTGGCTGATTCCAAATGCTTTGGCAAACTACCAGGAGAAACAAAAGGAGATAAGTCAAACATAAAAAATTACATAATCTAAAAAAAAGGCCCTTTTAAATCAAAAATTGATTGTGCTAACTTTACAATAATATTGAGCACATTGTAGTATTGTGTAAACCTTCGGGCCACAACTATGTTCTTGGGCAACTTTAGAAAGTATCTCACCAATCAAGGTTGGGAGGTTAATTCATTACACAAAAAAACTATTAAGAAAATGGAATAAGCTATGAACGGTAAACAAGTGCATTATATGATTTTTCCGAAAACAAAATCAGGGAAATAAATATTGTCACATATCATTTAGTTTACATTTTACATAAAGAAAAATAAGATTTAAAACTGATCGACACTTGGTTATCACACTGGTGCTATCAACCGCAGATAGCAGAAAATAGCAGTTTGATCAAATTGCATTATGCTATAGTAGTGCCTCTATTTAACAACAATTCATCACACAAGTTGTGATTCAGAAATCAAAAGTAGGACAAATCCAAAGGTGTACACAAACCTCCACGGTTACTCTGTGTTTTGAGAGGTTAAATAAAAACAGCTCTATTATATGATAATTCATATAACTATCACCCGACAGCCTCCCTCGTCTTTTTTATAATCAAAGTTAAGTTATGATATCAATTTCATACATACTTCCTATTTGAAATGATCTTATATATTTTGAATTGAACTGAAATATCTTCTTTCCCCTTAACTATTAAGAAGCTAAAATTGCCATCTGGGTTATTTGAAATATGGAATGAAGATTTCCTAGAGTTTTCAATTAGCATAGCTATTTCTCACTTAATGTGTCCACTCAACAATTTCACATGCACATCCCTAAGATATATTCAACCTAAACCAATGGAGTTTTAAATTTTAACACATAGTAAAAAGCATGCAGTGCAGACAAATGTTCAGCCACAATCTCAACTTATTCTAATCTAGTATCAAGAGTTTGAGCTACAATTTCAGGGACTGATTGCAAATTCTCTCTGTTGGAAAAGAATCATTAGTATCATTTTAATTCATAATCATAAAAACAATCATTGATTAATTTTATCTTATAGGCTATAGCTATCATCCCTAAAATTTCAAAATTGAAACGAAAGGATTATTCAGGTTTCAGAAACTGAACTCACCTTGTAGAACCATCATCCCCATACTGCGCCACATTCACAAACTGTCCAGAACCATCCATTGAACCAAAGCTCAAATCCCCACTGCCACCACTCCCAAACGCGTTACCAGTGCTCGTGTTCGTCTGTTCCCGCATCCTCACCCTTCTCCGATACTCAAAACAAACACACACGGTATGAAGAACACACTGTAGCGCATACCCTAAAATCCACAACCTAAGAGGCGCGGTGGGAGATTCATTCCAACTCAAAATCAACACAGTAGCGGCCACAATAATGAACGACAAGTTCCAGAGAATGTCAAGGATCACCACCGGCTTCGAATAAGCCCAATCGCTTTGTCTCTCTTCCAATTGTTCCGCCGCGGTTTCCCTCACCATCATCGACGGCTCGCGCATCAACCTCCGCCCACTCGCTTGCCGTAGGAACCGCGCCGCTTGACGGAGACTCGGCGCACGGAGAATTCGCCGTCCGGAGTTTGAGTCATCGGAAGAAGTACCGATTAACGGCGTCGGATCCGCGGTTGTCGTCGCCATGTTTGAATTTTTCACTTTCTGGATTGTTGTAGCGTGAGTGAGTCTGTTCAGAGCATGTGAATCTAGTTTTTTATTCGGTGGAATTGAATTGTTTTTTATAAAGGAAACGGATAGTGTCTCAAAACTGAAATTGTGTGATAATTAATTATGGATTCATTGGCTCTTTGGATACGGTGTCGTTTTATAGGGTTTTTTTTTTCACCTAACGTCGCGTGTTTGTTTTTTTTTTCTCCCGCTTGAATTAAATGGAAGGGAATAATACACGTTATGCTGTTTTTGTTTTTGTTTTATTTTGTCTAAACTGCATATAGGCAATGATGGCATGGCATTTTCATGAAGTTCGGAAGCTGTCAAGAGTCACAGATGTCGGCCATGTATTTAATAGTACTAACATTGTACAACTTTTTTATTGACTTATTAAAAGTCTACAACGTTCTTGTTCTTTGTATAAAAATAATTTTACGAGCTTATTCTAGAAAATAATTACTTAATATTTGTCCATATTTTTTAATGTTCGAAGATGTGAACAAATGTATTATTATTTTGGTTCAATCTTAATTTTAATTTGTCCTTAGTTTTTGATGTTCAAAGATGTGAACATATAAAATGTATTATTATTTTTGTTTAATTTTTATTTTATTTTATATTATTTATAAAATAATAAAAGATAATAGAATGAATAGGATATATAAACAGTCATATAACCATTAATAAAGAAGAGAAATTAATTTTGTAAAAAAACATAAAATTTAAAATGATAATAAAAAGAATATATTTTTAAAAAATTAGGATACATTAAAATGATATTTTGCTTTTCTATATTGTTATGGATTAATATAATTTCTTTTACTTTAGAAAAATATAATAAACAACAAGCTTTATTTTAAAATATTTAACATTGTTGTATTTTTAAATTTTATTCAAATCTAAAATCAAATTAAAGTACACTTAATATTATATAAAAATATTCATTACAGTTTATAGATTAAAAAAATGTGACAAAAAATCAAGTATATTAATAAGAAAATAATTAATATATTTAGAATTTTAAAACAAATTTTATAAAAAGAATAAATAAAAAACATAATAAAATTTTATATTTGATGATAAAAAATAAATTGCCAAACACTTTTATAATCACCCGTAAAGAAATTTATAAAAAAAAATCTTAAATTTGTTAGAATTAAAAAAAGTAATTTCGAATCAATTTTAATAAACATGATTTAATTAACTGATTGGATTCTCTCTTGTTCTTCACTTTTCACTCGAGTGAATCAACCAACTTTAGTTGCAAGATTGTATCGCTACACAATGGTGATGAAAACAAGAAAAGAAACTTGAATTTCGGGAAGAAAGAAAATTAGGGATTCAATACAAAATAGAGGGAAAGAAAAAAAAATGCAGAGTAACTATATGCTCTCAAAACTACAATTTTATTCAATAATAGGCTTATTCTCTATTTATAGATTTAGCTTGCTTCCTCTCTAAGTAATGCCCAAAAACAAAAGGCATAAAATACGTAATTTTGTTAACACTACAAAATTAGACCTAAGTCAAAATTTCTGTCGAGGTACACTCCTTCGACGTTTCGACACTCACACAAATTTGGCACACAACATTTCGACGACAACAGACTCTGTCGAAAATACTGCTTTGACACAAAGAATTATAATTCAACACACCACATAGTTCATTTTGTATAAGATATATATATTCATTGTATACCTTAGTTTTTTGAGCACTTCGACATGCACTCCTTTCGTCATGATATTTGTAATCTGATTCTCAATTTTGTAGTGTTTCAAGTTAAGCTTCGCTTTTGCCACCTGCTCACGAAGATAATGAAACCTCATTTTGATGTGTTTGCTTCGTCCATATGCTATCAGATTCTTCGTCGAATTAATAGCAGACATGTTGTTGATCTCCATGATTCTTCACTGTAATCTCTTCGACCAAATTCACCATCCATGTTGCTTGACATGCACAGAGATAAGCAACTATGTACTCTGCTTCACATGATGATAGTGCCACTACCGGTTCTTTTCTTGAACTCCAAGCAACGGGTGCCCTACCTAGTATAAACACACAATCAGTTGTGGATTTTCTATCCTCGACATCACTACATCAACTTGAGTCAGTGTATTCCACTAATTTGTATTCTTTTCATTCATCAGCTGCAAGAAACAAAATATCATAGTCGAGAGTTCCTTTGAGATACCTTAGTATCGTCTTCGTCGCTACAAGGGGTGGTACCTTTGGATTCTGCATGAATCTACTCATCATACCTATATTGTATGCTAAATCAGGCCTTGTGTGAGAAAGGTATTGAAGTGATCCAATGAGTCTTTTATATTGCGTTAGATCGACATCATCTTCATTTGAGTCTTTCGATAATTGCATTATGGGCTCAGTTTGAGCCGAAGTTGGGTTGCAATATTGCATCTCAAATCTCTTAAGTATTTCACTAGTATGTCTTATTCGGTGCATCATCAAAACTCTACTACTCTTGTAGAATTTGATGCCAAGGAAATATGAGAGATATCCCAAGTCTGACATTTCAAACTCCTCACTTAGGTCATGTTTAAAATCTTCGATCTCCTTCTTGCAGCTTCCTATTATCAACAGGTCATCGACATATAGACATAGTATAAGCAATTCATTATTGCTTCTTCTTACATATATTCCATGCTCGGTTGTGTACTTCACAAATTCCTTCTCCCTTAGAAAACTATCTATCTTTTTATTACAAGCACTTGGAGCTTACTTAAGTTCATACAGGGCTTTATGCAGTATGTATACCTTGCTTTCTTCACCTTGTTTCACAAACCCATCTGGTTGTGCAACATAAACTTCTTCATCTAAATGACCATTCAGGAATACACATTTCACATCCATGTGACGTATGTGTCAATTGTTTATGTTTTTTAAACCAACAATCAACCATCTTATTTCGATCTTAGCAACAGATGCAAAAACTTCTTTGAAGTCGATTCTTTATTTCTGAAGAAATCCTTTCGCCACAAGTCTTGACTTGTGTCGGGTGACTTCTCCTTTGGGATACAACTTCACCTTTTTTATACCTACTTCACATTGGTCGCCTTATTGTCTTGAGGTAATTCGACAAGTGACCAAGTATTGTTGACTTCGATAGGCTTCAGTTTCTCATTCATTGCTTTCACCCACTTTGAATCCTTCAATGCCTCTGATGTATTGACTAGTTTGACATTTGCGTAGAAAGAATAATGTAGCAACTCACCTTTATCATTGACCATATATGTAATCACACATTCTTGCAAACTTGCAGACATGTGTCTTGTTCTCTGATGTCTGCTTGTGCTTGTTTGACCTCTGTATTATTCATGTCGAACTTCTCTTTCGATTTCGCTTATTGGATCTTCACATAAGATTCTTATTGAATATTTTTTGACATTTTCAATCCAATCTCATTCCTTAAGTTCATTTATGATCACGTCCCTGCTGATCACTACTTGCTTGTTCACTAGGTCAAGTAACTTGTATCCTCTAATCGAACGATATCCTATTAGGATCATTTAACTCGACTTGTCATCAAGTTTTTTTCTCAACTGGTTTGACACATGTCTATATGTTATAGATCCAAATACCTTTAGATGACTCAAGTTAAGATTAACACCAGATCAACATTCTTCTAGAGTAATTCCTTCTAGCCTTTCTATCAGACACCTGTTCAAAATATATATCGCAGTCAACACAGTTTCCTGTCATATATTTTTAAATAGATGCTTGCCTTTCAACAAACGTCTCACCATATTCATGATGGTTATTGTCGCTACTGCAAAAATCGGCGCCGGCTGAACAGAAGAGTCGCCACCGTGCGTTATTTATCCCAACGGAGGGAAAGGAAACGCTCAAAGTAAACCTCGCGAAAAAGGGAAAGGTATGGTCATCGCAACCAAAACCTGGGTTCGGGAGTCGGTTACGCAAGGGGAAGGTATTAGGCACCCCTCACGTCCATCGTACTCGATGGGATCCACGCTTGCTTGGTTGTACGGATTACACTTCTATCTAAACTAAAGGATGAGGTCTGAAAAGAAAAGAAAATTTGACTCGGCAAAGCATCGCACTTTATGCCTACGTACTCCCGTCTGGAACGAGAAATCAGAGTCAACGTAGTTCGCCTAACTACGGGGGAAGGTGGGTGAAGGTTGCTCGCTAGGATATCGCATCTTATGCCTACGTACTTCCACACGGCATGGAAGATCAGAGCAAACGTAGTTCGGGCTACGCACGACACAAGCTGTTCAAATGTCTTTTATAAAAAATATCACCTTAAACAAGGGTTTTCTTATTGCAAAAAGGTTGATGTCTGTTCAAATCTTTTGACGGAAGAAATAAATTAATCTCTGTTATAACCTTTATTAATGTTTTTCTGTTGTTTTGAAGGAAGAAGAGATGACACTCTACAAATCCTAGGGTTAAAAGGGAATAAAATCTACTCTAATGTTATCATGCATGGGTTAACTCCTAATGTCTATCACATCCTCCCTTGAACAAGGAAGAATGGAAGTCCTACGGGAAAGGAAACGAAAGGAAGAAACGGAAATACAAGTAATAACCGCATACAAGTGAACATGAATATAGCAATGGTAAATGCAATGCAAAGGAGGGAGGAAGGTTCATCTCAACCTCAAGCTCATTCATGGATGGAATAAGAAAATATCAAGTGATCATATGCAAAGAATCGAGTGAAAACTCCGAATGAAACGCGTAATCCACTATTTGGAATCGCAACGTGCTATCATGCAAACAAGTCGATAATCGGGCAAGCTACACATACAAATAACAGCCACCTAAGGGTCTTCCAATACCTATAACCTATCTACAATAAGAAATATGAACCACGGCGTTCATCACGCAAACACAAAGCGGCCGTTGGAGCCTTAACAAAAATAAAGTCCGTTCGGAAGTCCAAATTACAAGTTCGAATACAAAACATAAGAAAAATAGCAAAAGGTGCTAAA